AATGAAATTAAGTTCATGAAGATTACTTTAATTGATGTTTAAAAGAAAAAGTTCCTCCCACCGGTCAGTAATGTTTGAAAAAAAGTGCTGTTACCTTCCCTTCCTGTTCAGGCATATGCAGGGTAAAATCAGAGGACAAATTCATTTGACTTGCATAGAATTAAATAGCGCCACATCCGTAAAGCTAATGCAGAGCTGTATGTAAGGCATAAACGAATTCTCTTAACAACTTTACATTACATAACATGTTTTCTTGCTCTTTTCAACATTAATTTAGAATTTGCATTTTGACAAAACATTTCTTCAGAACCACATGCAACCGATACCACAGATTAAGAAACTGTAAAAACATTATTGAAAAAAACAAAACATTTGTGGCTAGTTCAATTTAACAGATGGCCAACGGTAAATTCTGGATTAATTCATTTACAGGGGCCACATGACAACCACATCCCCCTCCACACACACACACACACACACACACACACACACACACACACACATACACAAACACACACACACGTCTGTGGTGTAGCAATTAGATACTTTGTCGTTTCATGCAGTATACATGAGTGTAATTCTGGTGTGGCTAGAATTCTTTATTTCCACCTTTCTGCTTGGATTTTGTATCTATCACAGCTCTGGCTGGCTCCGACAGGCATGGATGAAGCAGCTTGCCTTCAAAATGATCTAACAGTGTCGATGGTGGGGCTTGTTTGTTTGACCAAAGAGAACATTGTAAGACAATAGTCTAAAGGTTCTAACGGTCTTTATGTTGACTTTGTTCTGACAGTAGTAAAAGGCAAAGCATTACACCAATACACAGACTTACTTTTAAAAAGTCAAAGACCGCACAAAATGCATACTTCCACATATGAACTTCACACAATGAATGTCAAAGCAAAGCACAACTGATCAGTGAAAATAACCTGTTTTTGTCCTACTATTGTCCAGCAAAAGCAAAACCAATCAGAGGCAAGCAACTAGCAATTAGTAAACCACTGAATTCAATTGTCATTACAATAAATTCAATAAAAATATATAAAAACTGTCCGTTTAGTCATTGAAGTAGAAACGGTTATAAATAGTGGGAGCAGCAGCTACAATAAACTCAAAATGCTATTTGATAATAATAATAAGATAGCAATAATAATCATATTAAAAATAATGATGATGAAGATAATAATAATAATAATAATAATAATAATAATAATAATAGGCCTAATAATAATCATCACAATCATAACAACAACAGCAACAATAATAACAATAATAATTATAATATTATTATTAATAATAATAATAATAATAATAATAATAATAATAATAATAATAATAATAACAATAAATGATAGTTGTCTGTCAGTGTTTCACGATAACCATTGTATCTAAAGAGGAGAATATTTCTAGAACAAAAATAGAAGTAAAAGGGATTAAGATGACTTGAGGCTTCTGCTATGGCCAAAGAGACCAAGTCAGAGAAGAGTGTGCCACTTTTTGAGTATTAAATTACTTCATTTCCACTTGTGCACATGCCCAGCTTGCGGGCTTCTCTCTTGGATTTCAGCATTTCTAATACATATTATGGTCGCTTTTAAGGACAAGTGGGCTATCCCAAAAAATGCTCTTTTGAGAAAATCGAAGGTAAAGTTTTTGCCCCCTGTTCAGTTTTATTAAAAAACAAGGAGAATTATCTCTAAAACTAAACATATACACACACCAATGAAACCAAACTTTTCCTATAGGTAGGGCAATGCCCACTTTTGGTGTAGGTCAAGCCGTTTGTCTTTAAAAGCGACCATATCATGTAGTAGTAGTTTTTGAAGCCAGAGACTGCTGCTCTCCAACTGGGTTTGTCAGGAGCTAGGATGTTGAGATATTTATGTACATATAAACATGTGTACAATTTTTTATTCTCTCGTTGGCTTACTTTACAGATCTCATTTTGGGAAAGGGCTGTTTTGATCCAGCTTAATCAAGATTTTTCCAAATCTTAAAAATGCTCTAGCAGATAGATGAAAAGAGTCAATAGATAATCATCTCTCTCTCTCTCTCTCTTTCTTCTGGTGCTGTGGCGTCATAAACAGTCAGCGATGCCGACAGCATGCAGGAACTCAACACTTGCGCGGGAGTCCTTGAAAAGTGCTGAAAGTGGGTTACTGAAATGACCCAGCAGACAGGTTCTGGCACGATAGTTGGCGGGACATCTCAGGAACACATGGTCCATAGTTTCGTTCTCCTCCTTGCAGGCTCGACACGACGTATCTGGGTTGTCTGCTGGCGCAATTTTGTGGAGATATGTTCTCAGCTACGATTTTTCACCTGTTCTCATTTGGGAGAGAAGCCGGAGGTCCTGTCGTCTGATCGAGGCCTCAAGCTGGTATGATGGCGGCTAGGCAAAAGGTAGTTTGGGTTTCGCCTCTCTCTTCTACTTTGCGCGGGTCGATTGGTGGATGACGGCTTCAGCTGTCGAGAAATCGATTGGCGTGTCAATCTGGGTAAGCGCTGTTGCTTCTTTGGCGATGCTGTCAACTTCCTCATTCCCAGCCAGTTCAGCGTGGCCTGGAATCCACTGTCAGTAGATGGAACGTTCGGAGCATTGACAGAGGGTGTGCAGAAGCTGCCAGATTGAGCATGCCACATTTTCCGATTGGTTGGTAGGGCCGTATGAGAGGAGCATGACTGCTGACCTGGAATCAGTGTATACATGGATGCGTTCACCGTTCGGAAGGCTGTCTGCTGTACGTAATGAAACGAGCATGTCCAGCGCTGTGTCGAGAGCTACAAGCTCAGCCCTGTAGCTGGAACAGTACCGGCCCGCGGGTACACGTTGGTCGAGTTCAGTATCACCGGTCTTGATCAGTATTCCACTGCCTCCATACTGGTAATTTAACTCATATTCCTTGACTTTGCTTACAAAGCAACAAGTGTGAAATTAAAATTGTGGATAACTCTAAAATGACCTTCAGTAATAATTAATTACACTCAGAGTATTTTACTTTAAGTAAAAAACGGTGACTACTTCTACATAATATTAAAAGACGAGAGAAATTTAAAACTACAAACAGGCCTACCTGTAAAATAACATCAATGTGGACCCCCCACAAAAAACAAAACAAAAAAAAATTTTAAAATAAAAAATTAATTAATTAAAATTTAATAAATAAAATGAAAAATAAAAATAAAATAAATACATAAATAATAAATAAGACAAATTTTTTTAAATAATAGGATTAAATAACCATCACTATTGTACAAAAATAAAATCTCTGGTAAGAAGAGTTGTTTGTAAATGGAACAAACATGAAACAAGGAAATGACCATATGCAATAAAATGACAAATATTGTTTGGTTGCTAATTAGCTGAACAAAGCTCTCTAACACATTTAAAATAACGTTATTCTTAAACTAACGAGGGCTCATTCATGTAATTATTTTAAAAACTCAAGATACTTGACAGTTCGAAAACAGTAAGACATTCCTGACCGATAACAAACATTTTTTGTACCTCTCCCACCACCTTCACCAGTGAGAAAAAGGCTGATATGACCAACAACAAAAAAAAAACCGGTTCATCATCACTATCGTCAACCTACCATTTCCTTGCCAACTTGCTACCTTAGAATTACAAGTTCTATCTGACATAAAATGGCCGTTTTGAGTTACTAAGACAGAGGTCAGAAACCAAAAGTTTTATCTGCTCTATCAAAATCGTAAGAACATTCTGAGTCATTATCAAGATGTTCAAAGAATTGTGTCTAAAGTCTCAAAACTAGGCACCGAGCAGATAGAACATTGTAATCCTAGAGAAGTGAGCTGGCAATGTATCCTCAGTTTTCTCCATCACCATATAGAGGGGCTCAAAGTGACCAAGTGAGTAGGCCTAGCAAGTGCAGACTCAAAAATAATGTCAAGCAAGTATTATTGGCATTGGTTTTTAGACGGGAGTGTGTGTCTTTCAACAAGACACAAAGACTAGTTTTTAAAAAAACCCAAGCACACAAAAAAAGCACTGAACAGTGTTGACTAGCAATGGCACGTTTGTAAAATTGTTTTGCATTTCTGCTTTATTATGTATTTGGTATTCTTTGTATTACATTTGTGTGTCTAATTTTGTACTTAAGTCTTCTGTATGTTGGTGGCCAAGTGGTCAGGCTCTCGGACTCATAAGGTCGTAAGTTCAGATCTTATCAGGGGTCAGACATTTTGTCCTTAGGAAGGGCATTTTGCACAAATTTTCCTCACTTCACCAAAGCGGAAAAATGGGTACCCGGCTATAGACAGTGAAAGATCTTGTCAGTTTGTTAGTGTTTGAGTGCAGGAAATCAGTAGCTTGCACTGAATGCTTCCTGGGAAGCCGAAAATGTTTCTGAGTGTTCCAGGGTCTGCTGGGGTAATAATAGTTTTAAAATGCATAGAGCATGCTCTAGAGCGTGGATATACACTATATATAAAGGAAGTTATAATTATGCATATGTGTCACAACACAATGGAATCAGGCGCTCGTCAATTTTTGGGCATATTGAGTTATTAGTATTATCTTAAAGCTGGCTCACTTGTTTTGCTTTTGGGAAAAATATTGTTCCCCGTATCTTCAATAGAACTCAAGATATTTTGGATAGAAGCATGTGGGGGTCTCCTGATTTCAGAGGGAAAATGAGAGAGAAAATGACTACCAAAGTTTGACGACTTCCAAAGCTTGAGAGTCCTTGGAAACTATAAATTTACATTTTTTATGCTTTTGGTTTAGTCACCGTTTTTCAGTGAAAGCCACACAGTAAATTGTTTCAAATGAACATAATAAAAGGTAATTAGTCAAAAAGTTAAAATTCAACGAAATTTGCCAAAATGGAAAGAAAGATGCCGTTTTCTTTGTTTTCCCTGTCTTGACGAGCGCCTGACTTCACCATACTGTCTCACATATATGTTTGCTGTTGTAACCCAAATTTCCACTCAGGAATCAATAAAGTGTAATTTATTTGATTTTCATTTTTCTTCAATTTTTATTCTACTACTAAAAATGTTATACTGTCTGTCACAATATATGATAGTGTCTGTGTTGTGTTGTTTAACAATTTTGTTCTAGAGTGCTGGTAATTTCTGCCAGGGATTATTCCAAACGATGGAAGTGAGATGGTAAAGCATGTGGCTAATAAAGCCGCAATGTAACAAACAATACTGGTTTTTCCAATTAAGTACAAACTGAAAAGCAAACAGCTCCAGGTAAATGCATTATAAATCTGAAAATAATCTGAAATTGCTTGCGATTTTGTAAACAGAACATGGAAATGACTTGTACAAAATTGATTCACATATAATCATAAGGACAATATTCCATCCACATTAAAACAAAGACAGCTCCATCAGCAATCCTTTCACTCTCTCCTCTCTGTCCCTCTTTCTCTCTCTCTCTCTCTCTCTCTCGCTCTCTTTCTCTCTTTCTTTTCCCATTCCCTCTCTCTCTAAAGTTCCACAAACATTAATTTATCAAAACAGTTAGAAAACTAACAACATGTCTCAGTAAAAAGATGTGATTTGCAACACTTGCAACAACATAAAAAGGTCATATGAGTGCATAAGATTAGAGGGTAACATACAAAGAAAAGAAGGAGAAGAGATATAAGGATGACAGATGTTTGAATTAGAAAAAAGAGGCAAACCTCAAGACAGCATGCGGTAAGCAGCAAAACATACATACAGTTAAATCTGCTCTAAGGCTCATTTGTCCAAAACAAACACCTGAACAAACGACCACTTCCATATTCCCTTTTGCATTTCATATAACATTATAATGACATTGTCAATGATGTCCACCTGTCTAAGACAGATCCCTTTTTGATTCCACAATTGGCGGCTGTCTTGTGCAACTATCCACTGTAACTTCACAGACCGTACTCCCTTCCGCTTTGATTAACCTCACCTTTGATGTGCCTGCTGTGAGCAGCAGCATATGGAAGCACAAAATAGGTATCTGCAAACAAACAATGTCTCAGGAACCATACAGGAGCACCCGAGCTGCCCGGGCATGTAGCGGCAGTGTAGGAATATACAACTCTTGGCTCACTTTTTCCTTCTTGAACCCCGCAGTGTAGTCCATTCACGCGATAGGTCCAAAAAAGTCTCAAAGCTTTTTCAAGAAACGTGCGGTGACCAGTTCCTATTGAAATTTGCTTGGAAGTTCCATGGGGGTGGGACACGATGACAAATATATCCTCGATCCACTTCGGGCTTCGCATGACTGCCCACAGCGAATCAATCTGTTTTCTGTTGTCCTCCAACACTTTGAACACCTCTTTGTCATGAGCTACACACGAAACAATAGCACAATCTTTCTTCAGGCTGGAATAGTGGAGATCAATACATCTCAGAGTAACAATAGAGGATTTGTCTTCATCATCATCATAAAACAAGTCCATTTCACTGTTCTTTGCTTCCTCCAGGTCGTAGATCACGTGGCGAGCCGTTATGACATTCACGTGGCCGTACACTTTGTGGGAACCGGGTTGTCCATGTGGGCAATTCTTAATTTTGCAAATTTGTTCCTGCACAGAATGAGCAGGACTTGAGTCGTAAACGTACCTGTTGACAACACAAACACAGAAGAGAATACATTATTAGAAGTTTCTTCTGTGTATACAACATCAGTTTAATTTTCTAAAATATCATCACCTTGGTGTACCAGCTGGAGCATACAATTAACTTTTTGAAGAGATCGGAGAGAAACAGAGAAAGGGGCAGGCCTAGAAAAAGAGAGATAGAGGAGGTCAGAGAAACATTAATCAAGAGAAACAGATCACAAGCAATCCACTCAAGTCTGTTTGGGTAGCAAGTCAAGAGAGGCCCCCAACTGCCAAATACAAATAACTAGTTTTTGTAGTGTTGTTCCTGTCAGGAATCATGAAAAGTAAGAAAATTGTAGGCCTTGACCATAGCATTAATAGGGGATGTTGAAAGGTGCATTTTTGATACAGCTTTGGGAGAGTATAAAAATTGAAAATTCTAAAAATTCGGACTTAGAAGAAGATTGCGTGTGACAGCAATGACATTCATGCAACAAGCCATGCAACAAACAAGAGAAAGATATGTTCTTCTCCCATCCACGCGACTAGAGTAACAGTGGCCAGAAAAAGTAAAAAGTATCCTCAGCACACGGTTCAGCACACAGTCTTCCTAACACCACTGAGCTATTCCTTCCCTTCACAGGCCCGGAACAGTCAAATTTGAAAGAAATTAATTCAAACTTCTCTCAAATGACTGTAGGAAACACAAATGGATTTATAAAAAAAGACAGAGCACTTTAAAATGTAAAAAAAATGAACGATGAGCAAAAAGAAAGGAAAAATTACATCATACATACTTGTAATTGTATACAAGTACACATGAATTTTGAAGCGCTACATCTTGGTAAAATTTGAGAGTCAAACAGTTTAACAAACAGATGACTGCTGGCTGCTCCAGTGCAGCACTCTATTTACTAGGTAGACATCTCACATTTTGTGCAAGAATGCTAAGGTGAACCCTCTCTCTAGAACCAGTGCCATCAAGCTTGTATGATGATCTAGTCACGCTCAAAAGATAAATGCTTAAGTTATTTTCAGCCATTTTGAGAAGATGAGAAAAGACTGCTTCTTTCAAATAATTAACTCTGGGAAATGCTTGAATTTTAGTTCACTCAAATGATTTTATATTTGGATTAATCTTTCGTCCAAGTGAACTATATCTCAATCTTGCAACTTAAATTCCAGATAGATGGCTATTTTCTCATCAAAAAGCAAGGCAAATAAGCAAGCCTTAAGATGACATTACTAATCCTATAAATGCTCAAAGCCGATGAGCACCTAATTCGATCCCGTCGTGACACAATTCTATACTTGCCGATAGACCTTTGAAATTCTAAAAAGATCTTCCTGTAAACTGATAGAACAATGAAATTCTTCGAATATCTTTATAACGATTCTGAATAATCATGCAATTTTGATAGAGCAGACAGAACATTTTGTTTCAGACCTCATGGTCTTAATAACTGAAAACAGTCAAAAATGTCGGATGGAACTTTGTAATTCTGAGGTACAGTAGTCTCCAACTAAAAGCACAGTGTTCGGGAGGACTCCTCAGCGTGTGTTTATATGGAGTGTGCATTTAAATGAACCTTTGCAAAGGGAGGAAGGGACGCAGTCATCTCATCGCCATGATATTCTTGTGACCTCCCTTTGGGGTGGGGGTCATTTTAGGCCGATAATATGTTTGACACGTGACTGTTTTGAGAAGGATTCCCTGACAGTGGATAAGAATACACAATTATAGTTATAGGCGTTGAATGAGGGGGGAGGGGGGCAGAATGCAGACCCCTCAATGCAATGATATGCACCATAAAATGTCGGGAACAGATAGCCTAAGAGGAAATTGTTGGTGATAGTCATAGAGACGACGGCCCAGCCATGTGGCTTTCCAAGTGACCATCCTGACCGTAAATTCATGGACGTAATCAGAATCATAGATCTCTACATTAGCTGTGATTCCTTGAACAAGTAAGTTTTAAGTTCTTCAAGCACAGCTAATTAGGCTTACTTGGATAATCTTTTATCCTATAGAGGCCTATCTCTAGTGTTTTGCAACATTCCCATGTGTTACGCATCATAGATTTATTTTGGTAGCCTCGGCCTAGGTCTAACTAAACATTACATGCAGTCACCCATACACCAGTCAGAAACCTTCTTTCTCAAAGATGTATTTTCAGTGACCAATCAAAAAACACTTCAGTCCCCCAACCCCTTACATTCCATTGACCAGTCCCAAACCTATGAGTCTGTGGAAAGTTGGGTGTGAAAACGCTGTCCACCACCCTCTTTGTTGAACATGAGGGGCAGTCTCACTAAATATCCGGTTTTCTAGGCTTCTCTTATGCAAGCTGTGCAGGTTGTAGTGAAAATTTCCCGTTGTCAAGCTTTACCTGTCGGTATGTTTCATGGATCAGAACGTGCGTTTAGAGGGAGCGACCATGCATTTATACATTCAAATTATGATTATAGTATTCAATCTGTCAGATGACAAAAGCGTACGTTTGATCGGAGCGTGCTTTTGTATGGCGAGCATTTAGACGGAGACTACTATAATAAAATCTGGAACTCACCCACTGGCAACCCTGGACATCTTGGTCCCCCCGAGTTTAGCGAACGGGTAACCTTCGGGGCGATCTGAGCTTGTGCCCTTCACCCGCACCCGGACTGTAAACTTGGCGATGAGTTTGATCATGTCCAAAAATTTTTGCTCCTGATGACTTTGAGGAAGATGTTTCAGCCCAAACAGAGGTGCAGGAATGAATTTTTTGTGGCCTGGATTTTTCCTACAATTAATTTTGTGCTTGTTAAGATCAGCCTCATTTCCATTCCACAATTCGGTTTCATATGGACCTGTGGGTTAACAACAAAGCAATTATATATTTTTTTAATTGAAAAAAAATCTTCATGGGTAACAACTGTGAGGCAGTGTAATGAAATCAGGCGCTCGTCAAAACAATGAAATTAAAAAAACCCAAATTTTTCAGGTTGTTCGGCAATTTTTTTTCTATTTTTTATTTTGCTCAACATTTTTTTGAAAACACATAGAATCTAATTCCAGTTTGGAAAAATGTTGATAAAAGGCACACAAAAAAGTAAATTTCCACTTTCCAAGGAAAATCAAGCTTTGGAAGTCACCAAACTTTGGCAGCTATTTTCTCGCTAATTTTGCCTCTCACACCAGGTGACCCCCAGCTCCGTTAATTTCAAATATCTCAACTTCTATTTTTTTAACGCTAAATTCAAGACAAATGAACAAGCTATTCTATGTCCAAAAACTGATGACAGCCTGATTCCACAGCGTCGTGACACAAAGGCAAAAACCTTTTAGACATGACACTTGATCAAAATTAAAAGGGAGGCTTGCTCATAAAATGAATTACTTCTCTGATTTTAGCTCTGCGGACTCTGCGGACATAGAAATGTGAAATTTAAAGGTAGAGTCAGTACAATTTATAAGGGTGGAGTGATAGCAATCTAAACATGAAAAGAAACCCAGCAAAATTTGAAAATCTACAAATCAGACTCCTGTGTTGATTTTTGCCGGACACCTCCATTTGCAGATTGTTTTTTGTTTTAGTAGAGGTTTTTTCGATGCTCGCAACTAAGGTCGTATGAGCGCCAAGGGGTGAATGTTAACAGAGAAGACCTTAGAGGGAATCAAGACTTACTCTGCTCGCCTCTCTAGCTTCAAAAGCACAAAGTCTGCTTCGACAATCATGGCAACCCGGAAATAGCGGGTCACAATAATAATAATAATAGATAGCATTTGCGTAGCGCAAATTCCCGCTCAACAGCAAGCTCTATGCCCATCACAATCTATACTAATACCCCAGCAGACCTCAGAGCATTCTGAAACAACCTCAACTTTCTGGGAAGCATACAGTGCAAGTGGCCATTTATAGGCTCTAAAACACTAACATAGTAACGATATCTTTCGCTGTCTATGGCCGGGTACCCATTCTCAACTGGGTGAAGTGAAGAAAATTGGTGTAAAGTGCCTTTACCAAGGACAGAACGTAGGGCCCGCGGCTCGAACCCCCGAACCTGCAACAAGAGGGTGACAAACATATAAAAGAAATAGAGGCAAAATGACGATAGTAAGGATTAGGAAAGAAAAAGCAGCAGTTTCCTTTTGCAGTTCAGGCAGTTATGAGCATGACATTGATGAATCAGCCCATCTACAATTACAATTCTACTATGCATAAGAACATGGTTCTTCCCTTTGGGAATAGCCTAAAGACTCTTCAGTCAGTAGCACCGCCCCGGAGGGTTTTGAAGATTGTAAGCAGTAACTTATTTTGTTAAACCACTGACAGTACATATCACAATTTACATTATAAAAAATAATTAGTACGGAATTCTGAAATTGATAATTTGAAAAAAAAAAAACCACCTTTGAGAGGCAGCATGGCGAAATCAGGTGCTCGTCAAAATAATGAAATTGAAGAAATTGGCATTTTTCCTCAGGTTTGGCATTTTTTTTTAAATTTGTGTTTTTGGCTCAAGACCTTTAAATACCATTGAAAAACCTATTTCTGTGTGGTTACTGAAAAACGTTGATTAAAGGCACAAAAAATGTAAATTGTCAGTTTCCACAGACTATGTAAATAACCAAATTTTGGTGGACATTTTCTCAATAATTTAACCTCTGAAACCACCTCCTTCGATCGCAAATACAGTCGAACCTGCCCTGTCGGCCACCTCTATAAGACGGCCACCTGTACCAATGGACACTTTCCATTCCCCCCCCCCCGCGTTTTTTCTATATAATTTAACTGTGTAAAACGGGCACTTGTCCAACGCGGCCGCGGCCACCATATTTCAACACACAACCCCTATCACACAAAGCAATAACACCTGTTTTAGACGGTCACCTTAGTGACTCCATTACGTTTTGTCATAAATCAAGCATTGGCCCCTGGTGTGCGCGAGCCGTCATAATATAAAAACCTGTCGTTGTTAGGTAGTCCCTCCAACTGATCATGTTGCAAGGGCTCCTCCCACTGTTGACCAATAGGTAACAAAATTAATTTTCAGTTACTGGGGACGGAAGCGTGTGATCCCTCATAACCTATACGTTCTTATACTATCATGCCACACAGCCTACTACAAGCCCTCAGGAGATAGGGGCCCATTGTCCAACCCCTCTCTTATCTTGCTGCCTCGCAAAGCGCTGGCCTATATGTGTTTGTTTGGTATCGGGTATCCGATTACACTTAAATAAACTTAATTGCATTACCGCTCACGGCGACTCCTCTTGTTTGTCTGTAGTTTAAGAGACTGGTATCGACGCCCTTTAATTAAGAAGTAATCAAAGAGACCATTGGCCTAAAAATGTACAAAATAGAACTTACAACCTTGAAGAGGCCATCATCTAGCAGTACCTCCAACACTTTTCCAAGTGCCGACAATCGTATGTTGCGTGTTATCCCGAAGTAAGCCCCGACCAAGTACAGTGTCGTGCTATAGACATTGATGAAATAAACGCCTTTAACAAAATTTAAAGCCAATGCATTTGACAATCAGTTTATATCCATACTCCTGAAACATGGAATAGTTGCATCCGATGAGGAACTGTCACAGTATCATTTTCTTTGGTAAAGAAAGAGATGGTGCTATTCCAAAAGTTTCAGTCTATTTTCAAGTTATTAGTTCCTCTACTGGTGCTTTCATCTCTTTTGAATCATACAGACCACTCCTAAGAGTCTACCACCTTTTCCTGAAAACAATAGGTCGAGAGAGTCAACTCACATAATTATTACGTTTTGTTTGGTCAGAAGAAAAGAATGACAGGAAAATTGAAATTTTTTGTTGTTGGATAAATTGTTCTTTTGAACTCCCCAAGAAATGGGCGACTGTATAGTGTTGTTGGTGTATGTTTTCAGTATGTTGTTTTCTAATTACCTATATGTATGTATATATTATATTATATAAATTTATATATATTTTATATTATTGCCTCTTTCTGTTTGTTTGTGTTTGTGGCATGTGCTAGCAAGATTGTAAAGCCTTGCTTGATCAACATTTTAAATATTGTTCTATTTATGTTAACCGCTTAATAAACACGCAAAAAGTTACTACAATGCTTTCCTTTACACTTGTACAACTACCTGCCTCTCTCCATTCATCCCCGCTCTAAGACTTTTTCTTACTATGATTTAAGTGTTGGTACTTTTCCAGTTAAAGCATTAATATTTATTTTCGATGCCCTTTCGAAAGTAATAATTGCGTTAAAGAAACAATACACTGTAAATGCCGTAATTTTGAACACTTGTTTAATCAAGCACACAGCGTGATGCTCTCTCACCCTCTCACTTCTGCACTACACGTTGTCTGTGGTCGGCCTCTATCTCCCCGTGACCAACTTCCGATAAGGCGGCCTGTTCTCTGACCGTCTAGCTCATAACCCATAAGCCTCGCCCATAACCCATACACAAATCGTAAGTGCGATGAGTGGTCACTGTTTACCCAGTCTGTAACAACGTAACAATAGACGTCAGCATGAACTTGTGACAGCAGCGTCACTCGTTCTCCGAGTGGTAGCGGCACGTGTGTTTGTCTTACCATAGCACTTGGTCCCCCTTGTCTGACACATTTCGTTTTATTGTAACCCGTGCACAAAAGCAGCAACAAAAGAAAAAAAAACCCAGCGAAAACAACAACAACAAAAATAACAACAACAACAATGCAACTACCTTCAGTTGGGACCTCAGAAAGGAAGGGTTTGTATTCTCAGAAAGGAATGGTTTGTTTTCTTCATCTTGATCAGTCCTCCCTAACACGGCCACCTGTCTTATACGACCACTTTTCTCCTTGACAATGGGTGGCCGTCTTACACAGGTTCAACTGTATTTCAACTTGTATTCAAGATAAATGGGCATTTCATTCATTAAAAGCAAGGCAAACGTAAAAGCTTTATGGCAATACCAATAACTTCACATGCCCAAAAATTGACGAGCGCCTGATTTCACCATGTCGTGACACATTTCTTTGATCTGTCATATACCCCCTTCCGTCATTCCAAGCATCTGCAATGCATGTTTAAATGTCAAGGGAAATTTTCCACAAAGATGCCTACCCCTTGAGTGCTAAGAGGCTTGATCATTTGTTGAGATGGCAGACCATCTACTCGGTAAAGTCAGACAACAGGCTTTTGTGGTCTACAGGTATGTTGATCGCCTTTCAATCCAAAGGTCTCCAGATTGAATCACGCCAGAGAAAATTATTTTTCCCCTATGTCCTCTTGCCTTGTTCTGTCATATGCTTTCATGAGAGAGTAAGACTGTGAGAGAGGGAGAGAGACTGTAAGAGAGAGAGAGAGACAGACAGAGAGAGAGAGAGAGAGAGAAAGAGAGAGAGAGAGAGAGAGAGAGAGAGAGAGACAGAGACAGAGACAGAGACAAAGAGACAGAGAGAGAGAGAGAGGGGGAGAGAGAGAACGACTGTGGGAGGGAGATAGAGTTTATGCCCACAAACACATGAGCTGTTTGAGTACACAAGTATGACTGAGTTGTGCATCATTGAGCATGAATATAATGAGTGCATTTCTGTGTTGATACTGAATCTTTACAAGTTGATGTTCCGGTATATCAGAAAACAAAATTTCCCCCAGGAATCAATCAAGTTTATCTTATCTTTCTCTTCTCATCTACTCTCATCCCAACTCATATCATCTCATCTGCTCCCCTCTCATCTTTTACCAGAATTTTCAGCCTTAACTTATCTGCTCTCATCTCATTTCATCAGATCTTATCTCGACTCATCTCCTTTTATCCCAACCCTCTTCTCTTACCTCCTGCTTCTCTGGCAAAAGCATAAAGGTTCTCTTCTGTCTTGTCAGGGTCAACACTGGAACCTCCATGTTCAGAGTTACGCACATATCCCCGCAGTCTGGCCCATTCTCCATCTGAAGCTACTGTCAGAACAGGATCTGCTGCCAGAACAGAAAGCAAAACGTCATCAAGCTGTTCACATGTACTGTGCTTAGAAAGCAAAATTTTTCAGAAGAGAAAAAAAGACGGTTTCATTTTTTAAATAATTGTACCTACATTATGTATTTTTTCTCCCTTCCTTAAACATTTTTACAATAAGAATTTTGACAAAATATTTCTGAGCTCATGCAAACAGCATATTTAAGAAACTGCAATGTTTTTTTTTTCAATTTTCAATGTTTTGGGCAATTCATATTTAAACAGCTGACTATCAAAAAGTATGAGAATGATGTTAGGTAGCAGTTAATGGCCAGAAGAACATAAGACATATAGTGTAAAGCGTATAGAGCCGGCTGTTGAGCAGGGATATGCGCAATACAAATGCTATCTATTATTATTATTATTATTACAACATCTCAGCCAAAAGATAGAGAGATACACAATTTAAAAATTCTTCCCACTTGGCAAATAGGATGTCCTGCATGTGACAGCAAAATGTCTTGCCACTACCCCACAGACTTCGGTTATAAAAGGGTGGAGGAGAGTTTTGCAAGCATGTGTAATGATAAACACATCTTACAGATTAACTTTTCTCTTCACACTGATTCGCATTTAATTTAATACAAAAAGTAGATAAATACCCTTGTCGGTGGTTGGTTGGCACTCATATATACATGTGGTTAGCTCATTCTTATTTATTAAACTCTGTCATTGTCATCTCTTCTCCTTCTTTTTTTTCTTTTTTTAAATTACTCTCTGGTTACACCTCAAGTCTAATCATTCACACTTATACGATCTGTTTGTGTTTTGAGTGCCGTAAAACTCTAATTAAGGCTAAAAAGAATTAAAAAATAAATACCCAAACAAAGAAAACTTACTTTCACAGATACTTTGAATCAGATGCTGTCCTCCCAAGTGACCAGACGGAACAGGGTCTACTTCCTCACAACTGCCAGCATCAAGTTGCACTACTGGAGTGCTGGTGTCAGAACTGTAAAAGAGAAGAAATATGTGTCACGACACAATGGATTCAGGCGCTAGTCAGTTTTTGGACATGTGGAATTATTCTTATAATTTTAATAAGGCATCTCCTTTTGTATTGCTTTAGATGAAAGAATCACCCATCCAATTTGAATAGAAATTGATATATTTCCCTGAATACCAGTCATTTCGTCACACGGTCATTTCATCACACCAGTGCAGTCAAGACGTCACAGTCATCTCGTCACACCCCAAGTCCACAAGGTTGAATGGAGACGGTCATTTCGTAGCACACTTGCAAACATCAAACACGCATTGTCATGGCAATCGCAAATCACACTTTTTGGGGGGTTGGAGGGTTGGGGCTGTGTGAAGAGGGGCGGCAGCGGCTGTGCGAGTCATCGGGCCTACCTGATCAGCTACACCGTACATAAATACGTATTGACAATATTGAAATCCATCTAGCCAGATCAACAAAGTTTTTAGGTATTATTGATGAAAGGTGAGATTGGCAAGATCATATGTGAGGCAGCGTGGTGGAATCAGGCTCTCGTCAAAATAATGAAATCGAAGAAAACAGCAGTTTTAACTCCCTGCTTAGCAAATTTTATCAAATTTTTGTTTTTTGGCGCAACACCTTTTATGTCCATTTACAAACACATTCCTTTGAGGATTTCACAGAAAACGTTGATTAAATGCACAAAAGTATATTTACAGTTTCCATGGACTCTCTAGCTTTGGAATTTACCAAGCTTTGGCGGCCATTTTCTCCCTAATTTTACCTCTTAAATCAGGTGACCCCCACCTCCTTCAATCCAAAATATCTCCACTTCTATTGAAGATGGATGGGTATTTTTTCATTGAAAGCAAGACAAATGAACAGGCTTTAAGATGATACCTAAAACTCAATATGCCCAAAAATTGACGAGAGCCTGATTCCACCACGCCGCCTCACATATTATTAGCTCTGTTAAAAATAAATTAGCAGGTAGATGTGTACAGTACCTACTGCGATTTTGCTTAAAGCTAGGCCTTACTTTCAAACATAAAGCCTCAATTAACTCTTTACCAGACATTGCTTTTGTCTTATTTAAACAATAAGTTTAACTTTGGAGCAGTTTGGACGAAGATTTAATTTACATTAATAATTTATATAACTTCAAAAAAAGCTTTAGGCTGATCCTCCAAAACTCTACTAGCATAACAATTTTGGAAAGATAGGTCTTAGATATAAATATATTATATATATATAAGCGAAGTCATTTCGTCACACATAATTGGGGTGTGACGAGATGACCATGTGACGAATGACAGGCTACCAATTGGCAATTGAAAGAGGTAGGGTCGCCTGGTTTCAGAGGTAAAATAGCGAGAATATGGCTGCCAAAGTCTGGTGACTTCCAGGGCTTGAGAGTCCTTGGAATATGCAAATTTACGTTTTTTGTTCCTTTGATCAATGTTTTTCAGTGAAATCCCCACATATGAGTTCACGACGCAGTGGAATTGAGCGCTCGTCAATTTTTGGACATGTGAAGTTATTGGTATCAATTTTTCAATTGTTTAATTGTCTTTCTATTGGTGAAAAAACCCCTCATTTATCATGAATTGAAGTCGAGATATTTGCGATTGAAGGTGGAGGAGTTCGCCTGACTTTCAAAGCTTGAGAGTCCTCAGAAACTGCAAATTTACACGGATATTCAAAAGATAAATATATAACTCCTCTTTCAAATGTGAGGCAGCGTGGTGGAATCAGGCTCTCGTCAATTTCAGGCCAGGTAGAGTTATTGGTATCATCTTAAAGCTTGTTTACTTGTCTTTATTTGGATGAAAAAAATATCCATTTATCTTGAATACAAGTCGAGATATTTGCAAATGAAGGAGGTGGGTGTCACTGTCTTCAGAGGTAAAATTAGCGAAAAAAATGGCTGCCAAAGAATAGTTATTTCGTTAGCTTAAGAGTCCATGGTAACTGAAAATGTACATTTTTTGTGCTTTTAATCAACGTTTCTCAGAAAAATGTACACTGAAATAAGTTCTATATTGGGCATGAAAGGTGTTGAGCCAAAAAACAAAAAATTGATAAAAATTCACAAACCTGGGGAAAAATGCAAGTTTCTTCACTTTGATTAATTTGACGAGAGCCTGATTCCACCACGCTGCCTCGCAAATGGTCACTGACTCATTCCATAACGGTACGATTCTTGGCAACTGAAGCATAGCGTCATAAAATTGGCTCATTCTTTTTTATTCAAAGGAAAGCCAAATGGTTCTGACTCATTCCATTAACCGAGAACTGAAGCAATATGATATGTCATAAAATCTCTTCTTTCTTTTTAAATCACCCTGTAGTAAAAAATTAAGGACATTGCGAGAAAAGATTATCGCACCCCACTGATTCCACTGAAGTGTGTCAGCTGAACATTTTTTAAAGACCACTGTTTAAGATTAATATGTCCATTTTTCTGCTCAACAATAGGTGGTCATCTAGCTTCAACACGGTTCGATTGTGTGTCATATATATAAGGAATAGGCGCTCGTCAATTTTTGGCATTATAGATTTGGCCGGCTTTATTTCTCCGAAGGTTCGGGAAAATGAACTTGAACTCTATTTCTCCGAAAGATTTCCGTCCTCGAGATTTGATGATAAAAAGCAAATTGAGTGGCCCGTGTGTGTGTGTGAGTGTGAGTGTGCGTGTGTGTGCATGTGTGTGTGCGTAAACTGTGAACGGTGGGGGAGGGGGGAGGGGGAGGCGAGGAGGGATTTTTTTTTACATGAAAGATTTTAGTTTTTGCTGAGTGACTAGGCCTAATGGCAGGTTACTGCCAATTATGTCGAGCAGTCTTGTTCTCTCGCGACAGTACCTTTTGATGGTATTTTCAAATGAAGTATAGTCCGGGAACGTTACTCCTACCACAACTGAAATATATATCTGAATATTCAGACATTTAAAAATCTCTAGCTCTAGAAATTGAATTCGATGCGAAAAATGCTTCTTCCAGTCCTCGCAGAATGGCAGAATGAAAGGATGACGCCTAAAGCTCGCAAATAACCCAAAAATCTCGAAATCGGAAACCGTTAGGAGAAATAGAGTTCAACTTTATTTTCCCGAACGTTCGGAGAAATAGTCACTTCGTACAAAATAGTTTTTGGTAGGACCTTAAAACTTGTCCTCTTGTGGGTTGATTTTAATGGAAAAATACACCCATTTCTCTATCTTCAACTTTCAACATAAGTCTGGATATATATTTTCTAACTATTATAACTTTAAAATGAAAATTACAACTTTTACCAGGCGAGCATGTAAAATGTTTTTTAACACATAAGATCTAGATCTATATCGTACTATAATAAATTATTCCAATGATTTCAAAATGCCCCAAAATTGATGAACGCCTTAATTTCCACTATAAATCTATGTTGTGACACAGTATAGGCCTATTCACTCAGAGTCGAAAAACCAAAATCTGTTCCAAACTTACCGACTAGTTTGAATTTCGACTGTTTCATCACAAGTGGTACGACCTGTGGTCGAATATCTGCTGACTTTGCTGTCTTTCTTTGATAGAAGTCGAAATGTTTTCCATTTTCCTTGAAAGGCTCGAAAGAACCTATTGTCGCTGCTCATCTTGTTCTTAGTCTATGGCTTATCTGTTACAATGGAAGAGAGAAAAATTTTAGGTAATCATGCTGAACTCAGAAAAAAGATAAGATCCAGACTAGATCTAGATCTAGACTATCTCTAGAGATTCTAACTCTAGATTGGAAGAGGCTAGCCATACTTAATGACGGCTAGACTGGCAGTCTAGCCGTACTTATTCTTAATATGATGGCTAGACTGACCATTAAAAAAAAAAGATAGGCCTACTGAATTGTAAATATAAATTTTTAGTGTGCAGTACCTAAAGTATTTGTATTTGAGACGAAACCAGGTGCCTTAATGACAGTGCAAGTATTTTAAACCTCCTGTTTTCTAATGTTAATAGGGCCTAAGATAAGTACGGCTAGACTGGCGTACTTAATTAATATTGATGGCTGAATTGTAAATGAAATTTTTTGTTTGCAATGCCTAAAGTATTTGTACTTCAGACAACGAAGTGATTATTCGGACTCGAGTCCGAATATGA